TCTGCACGTCTGTGAGGCTGTGGGGAGAGAGGACAAGGATGAAGTAGCTAATGAAAATACCTGCGTGAAACAAACATTACAAACATTGACTCTCGGCAAGTCAGCGTAATAACTTTCTGAATGAGTTCAGTCCAGTGGTGCAGCATTCATTTTTAACCACATTCTGTCTCATTAAAGGACAGAATAGGACCAAGAGGACCAATATATTCATTTGGTCAGTATCTGTCAAAGCTGAACAACAAAAAATGCTCCTCATATGTCTCAATAATACATCTCAACAGCTTGTTCCTCCTGTAAATTGATGTTCACTCAGATTTAATTTATTCTGGGGATGTCACTTTATCCTCTGTACTGGAAGAGATTTAATCATGTTCGTATGAAACCAATAGGTCATGGCAGCAACTCATGGTGGCACAGTGACCCCTGGGTGGGCTCAGAGTTATTAAAACAGATGTAGAGGGAAAGGAAGAAAAGATGGAAGAAAGAAAATGGCCAAAGGAAACTATTTTTCATCACTGATCCCATAATGGATACTACCAGAGCAAATATCTGCTCTTCGTCGGTGCACTGCTAGAGCCTCTAGGATTTGTCAGGAGCTGGAAAAGGACGCATTTAAAAGGAAGAATCTGCTTGGATTTATTTTCTTATTTCAATGTGAGTGAACTGCTTAAAAAGGCATTGTGACATAATTACAACTGAGAAACAGCATTGACGATTGAAAGTTAAACATGTTTCTATATGAAATTTGGGTGAAATTTGCCTGTAAACTTGCCAAAAGTTTTGCCAAGACTTTAGTGAAGAGCAGGAAAGTTTTGTCTTTGTAGAAAATTGTCAGGAAGAGACAGTTATGTTGTTTCTGAAAGTTTGTGTGATCCTTGCCTCCAAGATTATTGATACAGACAAGGCCTAACCTGCACTTGTCATTTCAAATGTTTTGCATCATTATTAAATCCTGTTTAAATTAAAGGCACTTTCATGTCACACAATGTGCCAATCTGTCAATGCTTCTCATTGTAGTTACACTATCCAATCCTCCCATATGCATGAGGTGACTAAGTGTATGTTTCTTAAAAAAACAATGGTAAAATGGTAAATGGACTGTATTTTATATAGCGCTTTCTCACAGTGTGTTGCACTGGCCAAAGCGCTTTACAGAGATGATACACCATTCACCCATTCACACACAACATTCACACACTGATGCCCACAATGCCTGCTACAAGCAAGCTAATAACTACACATACTGTACAAGTCCTTTTGTATGTGCTTTTAAAATCAATCTATATCCTCTTGCTTCTTCTCCTCCTTGTCTAAATGCCTTTTCTATCTTGTGTAAAGCATTTTGACTTGCTTTGTCAACATTTAGTTTTAATACATTTTTATTTTAGAGCATATTGTGCTTACTATTAACTGTATAAAGATGGACAAAGCGTCACCACTTCCCTCCACTTTGCAAAGTGAAGCCAGAACATTGTGAATATGGTGGCTGCCATCTTGGCATTTTGCCACCAGATTCTGTGCAGTAGCAAACAAGAGGTTGAGTGAAATATCATCCTGCCAATCAAAGCTGTCAAGTCGGATGACCCCGTCTGTCACCCCTCTTCTTTAAGTAGCAGTACATGCACTCTATTATCCACAGTGCAATGTACGTACATCATGTCCTTCTCTTGACATAAACTCTTTTGTATGAGAGTTTTATTTTTTGTTATGTGAATTGTTTTAAGTGCTTTCTGGCCTGCTTCTACAGGATCCTGCCCCCACTTCTGTAGGCCTCCTCTTTGGCAGGATGCAGCTGCTTGAGTTTTACTGTGAACCAGGGCTTGATGTTGTATGTGCAGAAGGTCTTGGTGGGCACGCACACATCCTCACAAAAGATGATGTATGATGTCACAGTATCAGTGAGTTCATCCAGGTCTGTAGGCACAGCCTCAAATACACTCCAGTCTGTGTAGTCAAGATAGGTCTGTAGCTCTGACTTTGCCTGCTCAATCCATCTCTTCACTGTTTTGATCACAGGTTCACCGCTTTAAGTTTCTGCCTATAGCCTGGGATAAGATGAACCATGCAGAAATCTGCTGTCTAATCATATAGTTACTCTAGATGACATAGCTCTCGCCTCCAGTACTACTTTGAGGAACCTTGGAGCCATTTTTGACCAGGATATGTCCTTTAAATCACATATAAACCAAGTCTTTAGAACTGCCTTCTTTCACCTGCGCAATAATGTGTGATGCTGAAAAACTGGTCCATGCATTTGTTACTTCCAGGCTGGACTACTGTAACTCTTTACTATCAGGATGCCCCAACAGATCTCTAAAAAGCCTCCAGTTAATCCAAAATGCTGCAGCCAGAGTACTGACAGGAACTAGCAAGAGAGATCATATCTCTCCCATATTAGCTTCTCTCCACTGGCTCCCTGTAAAATTCAGAATAGAATTTAAAATCCTTCTCCTAACATACAAAGCCCTTAATGACAAGGCTCCTTCATATCTTAAAGACCTCGTAGGGCCTTATCATCCTAACAGAGCACTTCGCTCTCAGAGTGCAGGTTTACTTGTGGTTCCTAGAGTCTACAGAAGTAGAATGGGAGGCAGAGCCTTTAGCTATCAAGCTCCTCTCCTATGGAACCAACTCCCAGTTTCAGTTCGGGAGGCGGACACCCTCTCTACCTTTAAGATTAGACTTAAGACGTTCCTTTTTGATAAAGCTTATAGTTAGGGCTGGATCAGGTAAGGTCTAGCTAGACCTTACTTTGTAGTGTCCTGAGATGACTTTTGTTGTGATTTGGCGCTATACAAATAAAATTTGATTGATTGATCGAATAACCCCTTACTAGATTTGTGCAATACCCCCTCACTACCTCACCAAGCGTAATGACATATCCAAGTCCACCATGTGAATTATTAAGTGTGATGTTTGAAGTTCACTGTGGGAAATACTATTAACCTATTTTTGTGTATTGTGTTTTAATACTTTGTCACCCTTATGTAACGTTTTTATTTTAAGACTAAGTGTTCCTTCTGGCTTTATACAACCTCATATTACCATTGCGCCCAAAATTTACCTGGACACACCCTATTTTCGTTCAGACACACTTGCTGGTGCAAAGTTGACAGACTGCTGCTTGGTAAAAAGGCCATGTGTTGCGCATGTGATGAAAACAGTAATTGCGCAGGTAGGAAATTAGGATGCACAGACATACTACCTGCACCGCACACCATACATTTGTGGCAAGATAGTGCCCTGTGGGGGAGATGTGGCAAACCTGGAAACAAATTTTCAGGAGTGTCAAGGTTCACCCCCACCCTGAAATACTTTCCACACACTCTGCGCCCGAGAGTCCTCAAAGACTTAGAGCAGTTCAAAGTTCATATCACCTTTATGACCCTGTGTGGCTGCTTCATCACAAACTGAAACACTGTTTACAGCAGGGGTGCCCACACTTTTTTGCCTTGCGAGCTACTTTTCAAATTACCAAGTCAAAATGATCGACCTACACACGCACGCGCGCACACACAAAATATATGTATGAATGAGTGTCATAGTTTTTATGAACAGTCTGAAAGTGCCGCTCCACATTTCCCTTCTTTGGAATAGTGATGGTAGATTGGTAGATCAAGCAAACGCATTTCGAATATAACTTCGCGAAAAAAGTCCTCCCATTCCGCATGGAATGTTTTCGGTACGTTTTCAGTTTCTTACTTGATTTGGCTCCCCCACTCATTTTATACCCTTTAATTCAAAGGCTGACAAGGTAGTTTGCTCACTGGAGTTTTGCAGTAGCTCCTGTGGTTGACTGCATGTTTGGTGACTCGTGTGTCAGAAAAGACGAGACCTCAGACTGGCTGCCCTGCATGTCAATCAAGTAGCAAATGCCATAGGGAGGATGGATGATAGGCTATATATGAATGATTGTCACTTTCTGCTTTTCCTGTTAGGGGTCGCCACAGTGAATCATCACACTGACCATTCGCATGTTAACATTTGGCACGTGGTTTACGCTGAACTCATCTAATTTATTTTTGAATGGTACACGATCTACCAACACTACCTTTGCGATCGACGTACAGTATAGGGCACCCCTGGTTTAAAGGCTTAACAGAAGCCACAGCCTCATCACCTACAGTATCTCACACAGAAACATCAGTTTCCTTTCAATGGAAACCTCCTCTCTGAACACCTCAAAATGAATACTCACAAGGACGCACAGATGACAGTCACATCAAAACATGCATCCTGCTCTGTTGAAACTCATCCAAATTATCAAAGGCAAAACTACATGCATTGTTATATTCAGATTGGAATCCAAAGATTTCAAAGAGCTGTCAAATGAACAAAGCTGATATTAAACACTGGGTGGGCCAGAAACAGTGGAGCCAGAGTTAAATGACAAATCAATGCGAGAGTCTGTTAACAGGCAGGAGTGGTAGGGGCTGATCAAAGAGCTGAGCTCATGCCAGCTTGCTGCTTCAGTGGCACACTGGATGGGAGAAACATCAAGCATCCATCTACATATGGCTTTTCAATTTTTAATCAGATGGACCATCATTAGAAAGATTTACATCTGAGGCAAAGCCCTCATTAAGCTCAGAAGTTAATACTATACCTGCTCAGTTGCTTGCTGCTTAATGATTCTTTTGGCAGTCCTCAGATAATACATGGCGTGAAAATGTTTGGTTTAGCTGAGATTAATGGCAAGTAGCCTATACACTGTTTTGTCTCTTGGGCTAGGCTACCTGTGAAGAAAGGTTGACCTAATATGACAAACAGGATGCAATGCTAGTAGAAAGCCCCCTCTCAGGGCCAGAAATAGTCTATTTATATCTTAGTTTGCTGACTCTAAGCAAAATCAGGTCGTCTTCTTGGTGATTCGCCAAGCGCCAAAACCACTTGTTACGGTGAGCCGTATATACGAGCTAGTTTGGACTCAGAGAAAATGCATTACTCGGACTCAGGCGTCAGCAAGGTAAATGTATTTTAATGTGACAAATGAGAAGGCGACAGAGCTGGGCAGCTGGGCAAACTGTGTTGACTGGACTACTGGAGATGTTACCCGGGTTTGAAGAAGAGGCGCAGCTCACTGAATAAGAGCAGAGAGTGAGAGTATGAGAGAAAGCAACAGGTATGCGATGGTAAGAGCTACTTCTAGTAGTCACACTGGGGACCTGAATAGCCGAGTGCACCGCTGACACAGGGAGTAGTCCAGCGAGGTGGGAGCTGGCGCAGGAGATTGCTGGTCTGGTGTGCAGGCTCCCTGTTGAGGCAGAGCCGGTAGCAGGGTGGTGTAAAGAAGGCAGGTAGCAGTGTTCCAGGGCTGCAAAGGGATTCACTGTAAGCGCAGGTCTTCTACCGCTGGGGAGCTCTGATGGAGGAAACAATTGACAACTCTCAACACCAAATGGTGCTGAGAAAAAACAAAAACAGCCTAAGCCGACCCAGTACAGGAAAACACAGTTCAGAAAAAATGCAAAGCCCACGGCAAGACAGTTTGAACATAAGGAGACCCTTCAAACCATAAAAAGGGCAAGAAAACAGGTGCAATAAATACATATAAGCAGAGAGCATACAGTTCACTGTTTAAAGCCAGGCTCAACAAGGTCATGGTCCATAATACCGATTTCTGACATGGGTATGCAATAATGTTACTAACAGGTATAATCTGCTGACAAGGACACACCAATGCTCTCCTTAAATACTGCTCTGATAATTGAGAGCAGGTGTGCCTCACCACCTGGAACGCACTCCCACCTTTGCGGAGGCGGAGCTGCTGGGACTACCCGTGCCAGCTACCGAGGTGCTGAGGTTGGCCTGGGCCACGGACGTAACACTTGTATTCTTGTTTCTCTTGTTGTGAGCAGAAAACGGTATTTGGGCTAAACTACAAAAAAATCATCTTATATTGTGTTTTATGAAGTTTGGCAAAAAGGAGAATTAGAGTCATTTTCTTTTTTGTTTTGGCAGTAAAATAAAAAAAACAACAACTTGTCTTTCATTTCCCCTGATGTCCCCCTAGTGCTGAAATCAAATTATCAAAATATACACGGACCTGGAATCCAGCAAGGGCCATGTATCAACTGATATGTGCAGAGCCTGACCCTATAGCTCAGAAGGACAGAGAGCTAATCGATTATGGTTTTGAGGAACTGGTGTCTCTCAATGACACACCCCCCATATTCACTCCTCAGACTCAGACTCAGACTCACTGCACAGTAAATACTAACCAAGGGGACAGATTTGATTCGCTCCTCACCACATTTAAACCAATTTGAAATGTGTGCAGCAGCGAAGGAGAAACTGTTGCAGAGCAGAGCAGTCCCAGTTGAGGGTGGTGTCATTGCAGACATAATTTAAGGAGCAAATAAATAAGGAAAATACAAAATATCAAGGCATGTAGTGTACATGTCCACTAATGTAGTGTGTCATCTTTGCTGGTGGATAAGACGTATATATTTGCAGTTAGTATGTATGTCCTGCACTGTAGAATATATATTTTGCCTTACAAAAAGAAAATGGAACAAGCTCTGTGACATAAAATAGAGATGATAATTAGTTCTTTTAAAATGGTTTGGGTATTTTTTTTTTGCAAATATCTGAAAGCTGAAAACAACAAGCTTCACTAATTCAGTAGCTCTCTATGATCTGCACATTCATCTAGATTACATGTGACAGAAATCTATATCTCTTACTTCAACAAATACTCAGCCATATTTTAATTTATCAAATTCCATGAAAAACCAATATGATCCAGTTCAGAGATAATATGGTCTGTTCATATTTGGAAATGCTAAATACTCTATCTTATACCAACGTTACACTGCATCTTGTCAAGTGTCATAGCAGCCACACTACTTCAAGTTGGCTGCTGTGTAGTGGGGAGCGCAGGCTGCACTTCCATTTAGGTTGGTAGGAGGGTAATTGCTTTACAGATGCTTTTTAGAGCCTGCAAGCTCTTAAACTGCCTAAACAGAAGAGGGTGGCTTGATGCTTGAGGTGGGTTTCCCTCTTAATCCCGTCCTCCACGTGTTAAATGCCACGGGGCTCTTTTCCTCTCCCCACCCAACATCTGAAAATAGATCCCCACTGTGGCTCTGATGTCATCTTAAGCACAAGAGAACAGAGTAGGGTGGAGGAAACAAGCTGGATTTTCAGCAGTGTATAACATAAAGTACACTTCATGCTTTCAGTTTCCTTGGAAACCCATCTGTTATTAAAAGATGGTCAGTATACTTTAATCATTTCTGCATTTCTGTGATTTCAGATATGTGTCTATGCTTTACACTAAAGCTCTTAGATATTGATATACCCAGGCTATCCTCCTCTTCCTGAAGTAGGTTCCTTAGGTTATCATTTCAGTCAGAGTATTTGATATAAACTGTTTTAACCTTGAGATGTTTAGTCCTATGCACTGTGAATTTTTGCTCCCTGGTTGTCAGTTTTAATTGTGCCAAGTGTGTCATTTTAGCGTGTTAGCAACAGAAAATTTAAATGTTGAATATCATTTTGTTTGTGAAGGCAGTGAATGACTTGAGGATTTAAAACAAGAAGTTTAGGTTTGGATCAAATCATCAAAGTGCAAAAATAGACATAACATGTACTGTATCTCTTTGATCATGTAAGGAAACTGTAGGAAAGTGAGTGACAGCAGTGCACAAACTGCAGCGTTCTGACTGATTTTATCTGCTGTCAGTAATGCCTGTAACATGACTGAGCAAAACGTGTGCAGGACATTTTTATTTGTCATCATGAGCTCCTGCTGTGTGTTATTTTATGTACCTTTATATACCTTCTTTCTCGCTGCCATTACCTTGCTATTGGTCACTGAATTCAGCATATTCCAAAGTGAAGTGAATTGGGTAGTGCCATTATGGTTCTCTTCTCAAATGACAAAGACTGACAGCCACAGTTATCTGTTCTCATCATCTCTGTCTTATAAATACATAGTTTTAAGATATTGACTTCCTTTGTCTTGAAGTTGTGAAATACAAATGAGAAGCAGTGGTTGTAGTAATGCAGGCTTTCTGTTTTCCTAGATCTTAAGTTTCAAAGCCATGTTAAGATTACCCATAGTACTATGTTTTTTCCCTTGGACCTAACAGAGCTCCTTGAGAGCCACAGAAGACATTATATAACTGCTTTATACACAACACAGCTGTTTACCCATTGAATGTGACAGCCGTCCTGGTTGCAGTTTCTTGTAATCAATAACCCCTATTTGTCTTCACCACCACCACCACACGCACACACACACACATGCGCACACACCTGACTTGCTAGAACACAGCAATAGCATCCAAGGACATCAGAGCTGTCTGAATTCAAAGATGCTCCCACAAGCTTCAACAAAGATAGATAACAGTGCTTGAGTATCAGCCCCTTCAGCTCTGACAAGCACAGGAGGGTTTCATACTGGGAATCAGAATCAGAATCAGAATCAGCTCTACTGACCAGGTGTGTTGGACACACGAGGAGTTTGACTCTGGTATAGTGGCTCTCATCGTGTATGTACAACGTTCTTCTGTAAGGCAACGATTAGACAAGTGAACAAGATACGACAGAGAGAACAAGAAGAGAAAAAGAATGTGCAAACAAGAACAAGTAATGTGCATTAGCAAAATAAAAATAAAGTACTTATAGAAATATATATAGATATATACACAGTGTAGAATATGATTAATAAGGAGCTCCTGTGTGCTCTATAACTAGAAGAGTTTTCTTTTCACTGTAGCGGTTGTTTATGTTTTCACTTAATAGCAGGGTTTCACCAGTTAATTTTATTAATAGTCAGGAACTTGCAGACTTTGGTCTTCATTTATATCCTCAATAACACAAAATATCTGACAGGATAGGATCTCTTTTCACTTTCTTCCTGTCCTCTGTGAAATAATACCCCAAATAACCTCAAATATCTCAAATACCTCACTTAATTATGCTTTTCACACACACACACACACACACACACAAACAAGGCTCTCAGAATCCGCAAACAAGGGGCTTGGCAAAGTAGCTTTGTCTTGATTCACATTGTCAGCCTCAAGCAAACATCACTTGCTCCTCTGCTCTCTCCAAGGTGGGAAAAAGCTGCCACTCTTATCAGACCTGTTGTCAGCAGCCTAGGTGACTGTGAAGGATCAATCAAAGGTCGACAGGTGACACTCACCACAACTGTCTATCCTATGCTTGGGCTTTACCTGTGCAAGCACAACTTTCCACTACTGGCCAATGAGGAGCCCCACTGATAAGAAAAGGCCTTGCTCAAGGACATCTTAAGGATATTTAAAGAGCTGTACATTCTCCCAGCCCTCCCTATTGCAAGAGGAAGTGATGAGGTTATGGTACTAGTAAAATATAATGCATACTATATTTAATCCAGCAAGCAATGTCATCAGTGTACAAAATGACCTCCATACTCACTCCTAATCACTAACGGAACTGACAGGTAGCTATGAACAAGCTAATGTCACAGCCTGAACAAGTGAAAAGACTGAAGAGGGATTAAGGATTGAAAGAAGTGACTCTCTTATCAGTTCCATTAACATCTGCAGATGGAGTCATTATCTACTGGAGACCTGCTGCATTTTATTGAAAGATAAAACAAGAAACTACATTACAAGTACTCACAATATTTCAGGTTGAACTGGCTCAGCTATCCACAGTTGACCTGAATAATTGACTATGACTTTCTACTGTAGTGATTGACTGCACATTTGCACATCAGTGTTGACTAATAGTGAAATTTTCACCCACCGGTCCTTGCCAGTCGTGTAATGAGCAGTGTAGCAATCATATCTTAATGGCACCAGTATGTATTGCTTTCAGTTTTTGTCCAGCAAATTTTATTCATGTAATTACTGTAGATTAAGTTTCAGTTTTATTACTGGAACACTTTAAATTTCACAAAACATACAGACAGGTGAGAAATGAAAAGGCTTCCAGAGGTGTTCAACTGGGTGGAGACCTAGTGACTGTGAAGGCCACAGCATATGATTCACATCATTTTCACCCTCCCTCATACTCCACCCTCATGCCCTGTGGATGGGGACACTGTCAGCACTGTGTTTCATCACAGAATAAAGGTGATCACTCAGAACTGCTTTGTACTGATTTGCAGTGACTCCTCTTTCTAAGAGAACAAGAAGCCAAACCATGCCAGCATCTGCATTCATTATGTTTCTCCACTCATTTATTCAAATTTTTCCTTTGTCACCAGTCTATAGATTTCACAGTATAAATGCACTAGCAAACTTCAGGATTGTTATTATTAACCTGATGCCAGTGTGTTTCAAGATTCGGTGCAAAGTTACATTTTCCACACAAACTTTGGTGCCTCAGATTTCTGGTGCCAGCATTTGTATGCTGTACTTACGAGAGCGTCCGTTCCAGCCTGCTGCCAGTTGAGCCAATAATCTCCCCAAGTGTACAGAACATCTGACCCAGGAAGTCCTTCACAGAAAAGAGGAGACCAGCACACAGTTATATTACACAATTTTGTCAATGCAGATCCACACAAGTGCAGTCCATTGTTATTCCTGGAAAACCATAACCCTGGTTTGTTGATTTAATGAAAAGCTTAAGTTTTTTTGTTATACTTTAGTAACTTCTTAGTTACTGTATAGCCTAAAGTCCTCACAGCTGCATCCTATAAGAATAGATGGTGTGTCATGATGTGCACCAACCCTGTTTGGCCATATCTATATCAATAGTCATATACTGACCACTAATGTATTTAACTTATTACAAAATAATCATTCTAAATTATGACACCTATTTCATAGTTCAAATTATTTCACAATAAATTATTAAGCGTGAACTCAGTTGGGTTTATTTCTGGGTTTATTTTACATTATTGTGGCCATTAAAATACATTTAGGTACCTGTTCTCCTGGTTTACAGCCCAAAAAGGTTGTCTGAGCAGATCTGGCTTAGAATAATAATATTACACACTTACCCAAATTAAGAAAAACACCTAACATTCTGTTGTCAGATTTTGAGATTACAGGCATAGTCTAAGAGGTGAGATCCAGTCAGTGTGACTCCCTTCACTTTTACAATATTGTTTCCAAAAATGTTGGCACATTGTCTAAATTAAAAACTGAATGAAATGTTATGAAAATCCCTTTTACCCCATATTCATGGTAAATGTATCAATATATAATATATAATGCGCAAATTAATACATGTTATATACTGGTTTAGATAAGTTTATCCTGAATTTCATGCCAGCACCACATTGCCAAAAAAAGTTGAGACAAGGGCAAGAAGAGACTGGAAAATGCTGTTGTGTGATGAAAAAACAACCTGGTGGAACACCTCACAACTACTGAGGTTAACTGGCAACAGGTCAGCTTAATGATTGGTTATTAAATAAAACTGGATCCCAGAGAGGCTTGAGTCTTTCAGAGGTAAGGGTGGGGTGAGGTTCATCACACTGAGTGGCAAATAGTTCAAGTATTTAAGAGTTTGTTTCTCAGTGTAACATCGCAAGGATTTTGTTGTCATCATCTACAGTACATAATATCATTAAAAAATTCAGAAAACCCACAGACATTGCTGTTAGCAAGGGACAATGCTAAAAACCAGTGATCTTTAGGGCATCAGGAGAAACTGCATTAAAACAGATATGATTTTGTAGTGGAAATCACTGCATGGGCTCAGGAACACCTCTGAAAACTACTGTCAGTGAACATGGTTCTGCATCCACAAATGCATGTTACCACTCCACCAAGCAAAGAAAAAAAATCATATATTTAGATATGGGCGGAGCCAAAGGTGTGACCTGGAATGGTACCAGCCACCCCCAGAATCTGATTAGCCGCCCCTGGTGCCACCCCTGGCAGGGTCAAATTGTCATTCTTATCAGTAGTTAAGATTTAGTCCTGTGCACACCGAGTGATGCAATGCAAAATGTTGTTCGCAATACTGTATGTGTACAGATTAATAAAGAAAATTCTATATCTATAGTAGACATCCCTGGTGTGCGGTGGCATTTTAAATTTGTGCCTCTTTGTCAGTATTATTGAATAAAAAATGAAAACCAACTACCAGTTTTTCTGGTGCTTTATAATGAATATTAGTCAAATTATTTTTATTTTTTATTACTCTTGTAAGATAATATTTGCCTTCATTTCTCTAATTGTATTGTTATGGTATGATTCGCCTCACTGTGCAGCAGTTATGTCCCAGCTGCAAATAACTAAGGAGTGCAGTCAAAGTTACCTAAAAAAAGCACTGTGTTTGTCTCATTTATATACAAAATGAATACTATGATGTTTAATAATGTTTATTATTTCATAGAACTAGGGGTTTAATTTACTTTTTACATGTATTTCAAATGTATCACCCCCCTTTGAGTCTGTGCCCCAGCCTGGCTGCCCCGTCCAAAATTTTCTAGATCCTCCCCCGTCTAAAGATCCAGACATGCCGGCACATTCTCTGGGCTTGATCTCATTTAAGATGAACTGAGGCAAACTGTCCTATGGTCTGATGAGTCAGAATTTGAAATTATTTTGGAAATCATGGATGTCAGATCCTATGGGCTAAAGAGGAGAGGGACCATCTGGCTTGTTATCCATGCACAAATCAAAAACTAGCATCCAAGATGGAATGGGGGTGCATTAGGGTAACTTGTAAAATACTGTATATACAGGTTTTGGAACAACAAATGAAGTCGTTTTATGGAAGGCCTTGTTTATTTCCACAAGTCAGTGCCAAACCACATTCTGCACTTATTGCAACAGCATGGCTCTATAATAAGAGCCTGGGTTCTAAACATTTCACATAGTGTCCTAATTTCTTTGGAAACAAGGTTGTATTTAAATCAATTAGTCACAGAAACTCACTGAAAGGTCAGCCAGCTATATGCTCAACACAGTGCTAAAACCTTAGCTAATATCAGGAAATGTTCAGCACATAACAGGAGGATATAATGTGGCTTCAGCCTACTGTACCTTCTGCTCATCCAGGTGGGGAGGCAGTAAGGAAAGGCAGACATAGGTTAGAGGAAAAGCTGAAAAAATATGCCAACAACAAAGTAAGCTGATATTAAAAATGCATTCATTATTCTCTCAGTGTAACAGAGGCAGTAACTGATAAAGGCTACACTATTCTACATAAAAATAATGGTGTTGCTCAGTACAGTGAGTTCTTCTGAGATCATGTTATTACTGCAATGAACCACTGCATAATGTGTATAATTTAAATCTCAAATAATCCTTTGATTTAAGATTGTTTACAGTTTGTTTACATTTAATGAAATCTAATTAGATTAAATTAAGTGTAAGCCTTCTCCAGTTTATGAAGCACTGAAACCAGCAAAAGCCAGTGAAAGATGAGTCAGTGTAGGATGAAATGTTAGCTATTGTTAACTTTTTTGTTTTAGCACATTCAAACTTTTCCCCATGTAACATTTTCTGTTCTAATGACCACATTTACACATTTTCCAGATGTTAAATAAGTAAATCAACTTATCAGTTAACTGAAAGTGTTATTTATTTATGTATTCTGCTTACATGTTTTGAGAGGTTGCAGCTTCTGGTATCCACATTGTACCTGTAATTTAACAAGAAACAGCAAACATTAGGACATTTCCCTTTAGAATACATGCTAATGTTACCGAACATCATCCACCAACCCACATAGGAAAAAACAGAGCACAAAGAGAAAGCCCTCCTATTGTCCTTGTATACTTGATGTGTCATGCAGCACAGACATAATAAACATCTCTCCGGACAGCATAAAGATAAATATCCTGTATGTGCCAGTTAAATGATTACATATGGTATATGTACAGTAGGAGTGGTGAAGTCAGGAGTCATAAAAAATAAATGCATGGATCTGGAGCAGTGTTGAAATGTAATCTACTTTAGGATCAATGTTCACATTTAAGTTACTTCCTGTCTGACAGATGTGGTGCTTCTTCTTCCTACTACTGCCTACTGTCTGACTGAACACTTACAGTAAGAGCTATCACCAAGGGCTTCTTTGAGAAATGATTCTGTTCATGTCTGACAAAGGAAATCTACTCTTGTAGTAAGTAACATTAGTCAGACATCATGTATTTGTCAACTCCTCATATCTCTCTGTATCTCTCCGTCTCTCTTTCTGTTTGTTTGCTGTCAGTGTCTTTCTGAAGTCTACAGAGAGGATAGAGCACTAAGCTTCACAGAAACCAGCTACAATCCTCTTTCTCATCTTTGTCTCAGCTCCGGTTACAAATCCACGTATGTAATTTGACAGTAATTAACATATTCACTCCTGCTAGAGTTCCAAGGCTGCCTAAAGTAGACGGGGCAGTTCAAGTGAAAGGAATGCATTAGTGAC